AACCTCATACAACATTTGATAATTCTAATATCATTAAGTTAAAAGGATAGATTAAAATACTAATGAGAAAAATATAAAGGAGTTTTTCATTTAAAACACATGGAAAGGTTTACCTACACAAATTAATAAAACTAAAGTGATAGAACAAAACTACTTCAAAAACAATGAAGTTATGTAAAAAGCAATCTCAGTAACATTCATTTAGTGAAGGAAAATTGTTAGTCTATAGAACCTAAAAGTATGTAAGAAAAAAGTAATAAATATAAAAACAGGTAGCAAATATATTGATAGGCTGTTTGGAAAATTCTGACTGGTCAAATAAACCCAAGTTGCCAACATGAAGAAACTTCAAAAGCAAGATTTAAACAAAGTCCAATGACCTCAAAGTCCATGACCTAGGGAAAGCTTGTCTGTTTCTGCCCACTACAGCATTTCAGTTTCAAGTCTAAATGAATGCTTCAGTTCCTTTAATCTGTGACAAATGTATCTTAAATTTTAACACCTTCTAGGGCAGCTGCATACGAACTGTTGTTATTGTTGTTATATGCCGTCGAGTCGGCCCCGACTCATAGAGGAGAGTAAATTTTGGTGTTTTCTAAAGAGTCTTTTAACTGATGTCTCCTTCAAGATATTTTGGTGTGAAATCTGACAGGCCTGGAGATCAACAGCCTCTCACATCTATGAAAAATATGATGACAATCAAAAGTTCAGGTAACCTAAGGCATGTGACCTCCAGAATGACCAAAAGCAGAAGAAAGTTTCCAGTTAAGGGCTGTCAAAGATACATGAGTAGCAAGATTAATACAGGTGTTTGTGATCTTCTGTTAGTTGATTTAAAACATCTTCCCCAGGGCAAAGATGCCGTTCCCTTGTTTAGTCATGGGTTACCTCCTTAGAAACAGAAGCAGACAAAATGGAGACAAAATGGAGTCTGAGCCAAACCTTGTGTCAGCCATTTTATTTAGGATAAGCTGTAAGGTTTCGGGGTGCCCTCACATGTCCCCCTCCTCTGATTATGAATTCTCATAGAAATTCTTTGATCACCATAAATTAGGGTAAGTGCAGGGCCAGGTCACATTGGATGAACCATTTGGTTTCTCAAAAAGGCTGACTCAAGGTAAAGTCGATCTCCTCTGAGGACCT